ATCATATCATCAATATATGCCTCGACGTTTCTCCCAATCTGATCAAAGTACACAGTGTTTATCATTCGTTGGAAGGTAGCCGGGGCATTCTTAAGACCAAACGGCATGACCGTGTAACAGTATAACCCCTGATCAGTGACGAAGGCCGTCTTCTCCTGATCTTTCTTCCATAAGGGAATTTGATGGAAACCAGAATAGGCGTCCATGAAACTCATCAAGGCATGGCCGGCTGTTGAGTCGACCAGGTTATCAATTTTAGGCAGAGGGTAACTGTCTTTGGGGCACGCCTTGTTTAAGTCTGTGTAGTCTACACACATTCGCCAGGTGCCATTCGGCTTTTTAACAAGCACCACATTTGCAACCCAGTCTGGGAAGTAACATTGCCGAATGAACCCTGCATCAAGTAATTTTTTAACTTCGGCGGCTGCCGCCTGACTTCTTTCTTCGCCATGGTTCCGCTTCTTTTGCCGTACCGGCTTCTTTTTCGGATCCACAGCGAGTTTATGTACCGCCAGATCAGGACTAATGCCTGGCATTTCATGGACTTCAAATGCAAAGATGTCCTTGTATTCTTTCAATAGGTTGTGAAAGTCGTCACCAAGGTTTCTCAGAGCAGTCGTCCCAACTTTGACTGTTCGGTCAGGACGTGAGTCGTCTAAGATCAGGTCCGCATGCTCACCAGCCGGCTGAGGGCGGAACTCATCCGGCCGCTCCTCTGCCAATGATTGCTATTTTCTTGCTTTTCTTGCGGACTCTGTCTGGGACGCCTTTCTCTTTTTGGCGCCTGCTTCTTGAACAGGCGCACTCTCCTTGACATTGTCAAGGTCTGTTTTTTCACCACTTGACCCAGTGGCCATAACAGTGGGCTTGACATCCGAGAGATAGCACTCTCGGGCCATCCTCTGATCTCCCCTTAGGGAGCCGACTGTTCCATTATCCCTCTCAAACTTGAGCAACATAAGAGACGGGATTATAACAGCCTTGGAATTATTCAGGGTTGGTCGACCCAGAATCATGTTGTAGGTCGAGAGTTCCTCTACTACTAGGAACCGGACTACCATGTGTCGTCCTTCCCCTTTTTCGCCCAGGCGAATGGGTAAATCTACTCGTCCCAGTGGGTGGACGACTCCTCCTCCAAACCCTACTAAAGGGTGGGAGGCCGGATGTATGTAGTCAGTCTGATATTTCAGTTTCGACAGACATTTGCTGCTGATGAGATCTGAGGAGCTCCCGGTATCTATGAGGATTCGGCCAACTCTCTGGTTGGCCACTTTACATTCAATAACGAGAGGGTCGTCATGCGGCCCCCTTACCCCTCCTAGATCCTCTTCAGTGATGACAATCTCAGGAAATGTATATTTGGACGGCCGTTCTTGGTTAACGGAATTTACATCTAACCGCCTTATATTATCTTTGTTGCCCCTAATAGTGGGGCCGCCTCCTGAGAAGCCGCCTGCAATGGTGTAGACGACTGCATCATCTGTATCGGAGCTGTCGGCCTGTTGATTCTTTTTGGCCGACAGCTTTTTTGAGGAAGTGTTCCCCGTAGATTTCTTGACATAAGTGTCAAGATCACCTTGCTCAGCCAGGCGGTCTAGGTACCGCATGAGACTGATGCAGTCATTGGTGTGATGACCAACGTCATCATGATAAGCACAGATTTTATCTTGGTTCCGGTTGTTTGCAGAACCCTTCATGGGGACCGGCTTCTCAATTGAGATCCGTCCCTTTATTTCTTTTAGGATAAACTGGTTATCCTTGTTAAACACATACTTTGGGGAGTATGGTTTGAATTCTTTTTTCTTTTTCTGGGCCGGCTGTTTAGAGGAATCAGCCGCCCAGACCTCTTTTCTTTTCTCATCTTTGTTTGACGACTGTTTCTGTCGTCCTTCTCTTTTGTCGAACCTTTTCCCGTCCGACTGTTTTATCGTACACAGATCAGTCGCCTGTATATAGGCTTCTGCTTCAATCAAGGCCTCTTGAAGAGTCGCCACCCTTTTTCGAACCAAATCAAATTTGAAGGTAGACCCGTCTTTGAGACCTCTAAAAAAGTCGGTATAAGCTACCTCATCCGGTAACCCTTGAATCTGTATTCTCATCAGGTTGAACCGCCTGATGTAAGAACGAAGCCCCTCCTTCTCGCCCTGCTGAATCGTTCCCAAATCAAGGGTCGTTTTCTTCGCAGGGATGTTCATGGCGAAGTTGGAGGCAAACAAGTAAGCAAGCGTCCTGAAGCTGTTTACACAACCAGTCGGCAGGTTGCCGAACCATTGCTGTGCGATTCCCTTGAGAGTCGCTGGGAAACACTTGCACCAAGTGGGATCATCCAACCCTTGAAGGTACATCAGGTTGGTGAATGCCATCAGATGGTCTTCTGGGTTAGTAGTGCCGTCATAGGCGCCTACTAGTAAATTTTTTACTTTGGCCGGCTGAGCGGCGTCAGTAATTTCCTTGGAGAAGGCCGACGGCTGTTCACCAAGTCTAAGCAACCGTAGCTGCCAGTCCATAGGTTGGACGTTTTTTGCTGCAGGTCCACCAAATGGAGGTGGCTGCATAAAATACTGTTGTTGCGGCACAAATGGTAAGTTTGGTACCGCCTGGGCACTATGAAAGCCGGACTGACGGGAGGTGCCGCCTGACTGACTCTCATGGTACGACTGAGTATGCCTCATCGAGGCATTTCGCAAACTGTCTTGAAAATTTGAAGTAGAAGCCGACTCTGACAATCGGTCACTCTTCTTCTGCTCTAGCAGTAGCCGAGCATCTGTGAACGTTTGCTTTGACCCGTCCGCCTGAATATGACGAACCGGTTTCCTATTTCCTGTAGGATAACGGAATTTTGTGAAATCAAGGGCAGGTGGCTCTCGCTTCCTAGATTTAGGATGAGGAGTCGCCTCTCGCCCTTGAACTGGCTTCCTCTTCAGTGAAGTGGAAGGTTTCTTGGCCGACTGCTCCTTGACTGAAGCAGGCGGCTTCTTGTTGATCAACTCTTGAATCTCTCCCTTGAAGTCCCTCATGAAGGTCATGAGTTCGTTCCTTGTGATGGGAGCAGACCCATCAGTCGGCTGTTGCCGAGCAGGCGGTGCGCCTGCTGGCTCGCTTCCTGTTTGAAGATGCTCCCGTTCCCTCCTTTCGGTATGACGGGTACGTCGGGCCCTTAGGGTCCCGTCTGGAGCTGTATGAGTTTCAACTTCAAATTCACTTTCGGTGTCATGGTCCGACTGAACTTGAGGGTCGTTTAGGGGACGCCTCTCTTCAGGAGTCGGTACAGACTTGGATGCCATCTCTGAAGTACTCTCCCCACAGACGGCGCCAAATGTTTCGGGGTTTTCTGATGTCCTGCGGGAGAGTTACAATTCCGAGACTGGAACCGGACGCCTGTACCTGCAAAATAACGGAGACTCCTGAGAGCTCCGCCTCCAACGGTCAAGTTATTACCTGATTAAGGAGTAATTAATACGGAAATTAAAGTAATAAGATCTCTCTAGGTGAGAGTGTTTAATGTTGGTAATCTGCTTTGTTAGCGAGATTAGCCGGTTATTAGTGTCTTCCGTAACGTTTCTGTTCTGTTCCGTTCTTCAGGTGAGATTAATTTCTTGATCCCCTTTAATGAGGAGTAATTAAGTATTTATAGTCTTGAGAAGCGTGCCACTCTCTAGGTTTAGGGTAAACCTAGGGCTGACCGGGCCTCTAAACAGGATTGGGCCTTGTTGGCCGGTTTTCCCATTTGGCATGGGTGGACACGTGGCGTGTCTCAATTGGTCCGTAGAGGACGTATCTGTGATTGACACGTGGCAGGCTCCTATTGGCCTACGTGAAGGACACGTGGCGGAACCTGGTTGGTCCACTTGTCAAACGGTGATTGGTGGATAAAAATCCCCTAATCAGTCCCGACTCTTCACCTTCTGCTTCTCCCGCCTTTTCACCCAAGCAGCCAGAGTCCAAGAGATTAATAAAAAAATAAAAAAAAATAAAAGGGAGAGAGAGAGATCTTCACAGGTGCCACGTGGCACAGCCACGTCAGCACCTGTGAGGGGCAAATGTTTAGGGTAAAGATACCCTAGACATGTGGCCCAATGGGCTGGTGACACGTGGCGTATTGCCATTAGTCAACAGGGCTCCAATCCCCTGTTGACATGTGTCCTTGGAACCCTATATGGGGGACTTGTCTGTCCCACTATAAATAGTGGGACAAACCTCATTAATGGGGTATTCATAAATACAAACACAATTACCGAGCAATATTTATTGTGGAATTCTCCCAATCAGCGAGAAATACTTTACCATTTCCGTACTTTTACCTCCTGTACGTATACTAACTTGATCGTCGGAGGCGGAGCTCCTACCAACCGGAGTCTTCGTGATCTTGCTGGTACAGGCATTAGCAGCTCAGTCTCGGAATCGTAACTCTCCCGCAGGATACCTTAGAAAACCCCAAAACAGTACATGTTTAATTTATTTTTTTTTAATTTTTTATTTTGACGGATTTATTTACGATATTTTGATTACCCATTAATTGGGATTATAACCATATGTTTTAAACTAAACTATAACATGTTTTAAAGGCTTAAATATATTTTTAAGTAAGTTTATATTGCTATAAATTGTTTATTAATGGTATTTAATACACTTTGGTAATTATTGGTTGAAGGAGAGTTTGAAGTGAATGGTTTCTTGCAGTAATGAGAATCTTAATAGTGGCTTTGTCCAATATTTATTATAATCGATATTTTATTGGCCCGCTTATTATCAACCCGCTATTAACCATATAAAATGTGACCCTATCTAACTCGATCTGTAATCAACCTTAACCCAACCTGCCCAATAACCAGGTCTACTTGTCATCAAAAGAGATTACAAGTTATTTGTCATTTTTTATTTTAATAACTCTATTCTGTTTTGGTTGTCTTGATAGTCAACTCTATCTTCTACACGAATTGAGCTCGGCAAAATTCGTCCAAATCATGTAAACAATTATGCAGAACTTCATTACAATTAACTTAAGAGTAATACCACACTACAATAGAAGAGTTACCTCCACTTATCAATGGATAAAGCATAACACCAAGTTAGAATAAATTTTATACAAAGTGGTGAATGAAGCAGATAAACATAAAAAGGCGAGGTATAAGCCATACAAAAAAAAATCATTCACTATGTGATCCGACTTTCTACACAATAACCTTACCTGAGAGAGAAATGAAACCCGATTGCTTAATATCGAAACGCATATCTGGATATCTAAAACATATTCTTACAGACCTACCAAAAATGAATTGCATATGCTATTTGTTTCAGTTAGACTTTTCCTCTATGCACTTGGGGCACTTGCATCTAAATCCATAATCAGCCAGTAATTTCTGCCTTTCTTCATAGGGCAGTTCCTCGTCGATATATGAGATAGTTACCTAAAAATAAACAGAAGCCATCGTTTTAGTGTAAACACTCTCACCAGAACATCATCTCATAAGAAAAACTGAATGCTCCTGAGATTCAAACTACGACCGTTAAAGTCACTATACCTCCTCTCCTATTTCAATGGGACGTAGAGCAATTATCGTCGTTTGGCCATCTCTATCCTGTTTCTCAGCACAAAAAGCAAATAAGAGTTCAATTTGTTTGCCAATAAGATAGTTTAATAGTAATGTAAAGTTCTTGGACAGTGATTGACAAATGAGTACAAGATAAAGATTTTTTTAAAATAAATAAATAAATCATATTGTTAACTTTCAGACTTTAATTGGCAAATGAGGAGAAAATCCAAGTTATCTTCTTGATATACAATTGATGTTTATCAAATAGCAATGTAGTAAATAAATGCATAAAAACCACTTAAGATAGCAATTTAGCCCTAAAACCGATACTTGAAGTAGCGGTTTAGCCCAAGAGCTACTTGAACTTGCAGTTAAGGGGTAAAACTGCGATCTCAAGTAGCACTTTTGCCTGTGATATTACAATTTTACCCAAGAAGATAAACTGAGGCTCCCTCGCAAATGAGTACAGGGTATTCAAGACTAAATAGGGTATTCAAGGCTAAATCATTTGTGTCATGCATGATACTTTCTTTCTTACAGAGTTATTAGAACTTTCTAGGAAATTCTTTAAGGGATTGTTTGGTTGGACTATTTGGAATGGATTGGAATAGAGTTAGAGTCCATACCATCCATTTTATTGTTTGATTAGACAAATTTAGGTATAAAATCTCATACCAAGGGGTTCTAATTCCACCCCATCCCTCTGAAATCTCACACCCACCTTACCCTCTAAGATTCACAATCCTTTGCTTTAATGAATTGTAAAAACCAATCCAAAGAATAAAAGGTTTAGAGAAGTATGGGGTTTAGAATCCATACCTCCCTAGTATGAGATCCTATACCAATCCATTCCAACTTAACGAACCAAACGACTCCAAGGTTCTTACAGTTTAAGTCTAAATTTTGCTTATAAATTTTTACCACTCAACTCATTGTAAAGGATTTTTTTATCTTAAGCACCTAAAGATTCTTTATTTCATCTTTAGATTATTAGTTTAATATTTCGTCCATTCTTTTTTTCTTTTTTTATTCACTTTCCATTTTAATCTATTAGTTTTTGTTCTACTCACTAATTATATCCTATATTTGCCTTGTCTTTTTTACCATCTTATCCCTTCAACCCCACAATAAATAAACATTTCCCACTCTCTTACTTGATTTACCTTGGAGCTCAAGCCTATAGCTAACGAGCCTTTAGTTGCGGTACTAAGTTATTGACAAGGAGATTCTTACACAAACCCACCTTATTTACATTCTCTTTCTTACTTATCTTACACCTACTCGTCTTCTTAAATATTTTATTAAATAGTGTATCAACAATAATGGAATTAAACAAAAATCAAAAAAACAAAACAAAACAGAACAGAGTATAAAGTTTTACTTAATAGTAGGACTCTTAAGCATATACACTATTCTTGTGTTTAGTAGGCTATTTTAGGGTCTCCTTAGTTAATTTTTATCTTTTAGGGTTATAATGCCTATAAAGGCACACATAACATGATTTAAATATAAGATTATATTGTGTTTGGATTTAATCCTTGAGCATTGCTTTATTGGTCGTTAACCAAGAACATTTGTTAGCTAGCTTGTTGTGGCGTGTGCTCATTTTTTATTTAAGACTAGTAAAAGACCCTCTATGAGTCTATTCTGACAGGAATTAGAGTTCTATCAATTTTATTTTTTTTTTCAGTCACAAGATTCATTTGTTTAGTCACTTAAATTCACAAAAATAATTCTTAAACTTTTGCCTCAAAATTCAAACACTAAGTGCTCAAAGTTTGCCAAGAATAAACCAATCTTTAGTCGGTATTCTCAAAATAAGTTGGGTTTTTGATGAACTCAAAATAAGTCAATTTTTATAGAATATCTTCCAAAAATGAGTCAAAACCTATGGGGTTAGGAGGTAACCAGTTGGTTGGGTACATTATAACATGTGTCATAATGTGGTTGGTTCTTTTTTAAAATTTTAATTAAATTTATTATTGTTATTAATTATTACAAAATCTTTATTTATTTCAATTTAACAAAATACAAGGAAAAATATTTTTAAAAAAAATGGTAAAGTACCCCCACTCTCTCCGCTTTCCCCAACCAACCCCCCTTACCCTCCCCTGCCCCCACCCTGCCCACCTCCCCACCGGCCACCAGTAGCACACCACTCCCTTTACCCGCCTCCCCTTCCCCCATCTCACTACATCCCTTGCAGCCCCCTTCCCCCATCCCCATAATAATCAGCCAATGAAATGACGTTGATTCAAACAAGTACCCACATAAATCATCTCCTTAGTCCAACCTAGGGAGTATGCCCACTCTTCATCAACAAACACCAACTCAGCCGAGTCATCACCCACACCTTCCAAACTCGGCAACTCAACGATCTCACTAAGTCCATCTTCATGTCCATTAGGCCCAATAGGCCAATTAACCTCCAAAGAAGACGAAGACACCGCAGGCGACGGCGCGTGAGACTCCCTCGCGGCGCCAAAAGCAGCAGCAGCTTGAACATCACGTGGTGAATTTCGAGGTTCTCGAATTTTGGATACCCATTTGCCCCAAGCTCTTTTTCTCACCATTCTCTCCCACTCCTACCTCGGAAACCACTACCCCTCCCCATACCCCCAAACCACCACCCCTTTCCTTCCCATGCCCCCGAAATTACCAACCCCCCCTCCCATACCTCCGAAACCTTCACTCCCCTCTCTCCCCTACCCTCGAAACCACATTTCCCTCCCACGAAATCACCACCTCCTCCCTTCCCCACATCTGAATCAAATTGAAAAGAGGCTTTTGTAGTCAATTGCGGGACTAGCTCGGTGTTGGTGAGCGATGACCAAGGCTAGGAGAATTTGAGGTGGTTGTGGGTCTGGTTGGTGGGTGGTTTCTTTTTTTTAATTTTTTTTCCAAGGTAGGAATTGAAGGTTAAAAAAATAAAGCGAAAAAAAACTACCTACTTATATTTCTATAGCAGGTCCCGGCAAATAAATGCATCTGAAGTGGAGGGGTAGCAAAGGTCAACTTATTTTGAGTTAATCGAAAGCTTAACTTATTTTCAGAAGACCGACTAAAGGTGACTTAATTTTTAAAAAAAATCCTAAACTAAATGAAGTAGGAAAATTAAGAGATTTGGAATTAGTGCCTTATATCATGCATCTAGAACCACATCAATGAGATTATTATAAAATGGTATCCCTAATTTCCCTTTAATCCCAAAAGCTCACTTTCGAATTTAACGTGAAGCGGGTAATACGTAGTTTTATGATGGATAGGAGGAGCCTAAAAAACATATTACCTCCGCTCAAACATTAATAGATTCACGCTTGCCAATACAAAACATAAACTATTAATACCTATGGTTGTGTTTTAGTAAAGATTAAAAAAAAATATATATATAAAAATATACACATTGAAACAAATCCAACAAGATCCCCCATTCTTCCATATTAATTACAATATGTTATTATAAGGGGAGTATGAACAATGCCAAATTCCTAATATTGCAACTAAAGTGGAGCAAAGGATGTATATGACAATATTTCTTCAAACTATCATGGGAAATACAATCAACAATTAAAATTGTAAAAAATAATGTCCAAATTATGGGAAAAAAAAGGAGTAGAAAGGAGCATCTAAGAATTGGTTGAACAGTTGCATGGAAAACTTTTCATTACCAGCAACTTTACAGTAAGCAAGTCTAGATTAATAAAACAAACTAGTTACACATCATGTCAAACTCCTAAAATTTGAATTTATTCAACTTGTCTTTTGATTTCCACAAATCTGTAGCTTACTTACAAATGTTGACTATAAAAATAATTTTTGATATATTCCAAGTTCATAACTATGAAAACTTCATCTAGTTGAACCTTTTTTTTATATGAAGAAGAAAACTAAGTAGGAATATAATTTGGAAGCTAGGTGTACAGGTTCACTTATATACTACAATGTGTAATTATTACAAAACAAGACAAAAGGTAATCAAGATCAAGTTTCTTAAGGGATTTCTATAAGAAATTTTTACAGATGATATATCTTATAATGTGTTTACATATAACATATACTTGTACAAGGTAGTTATTCTAAAGAGCGAATTATATTAGGTAGATAGATATTCCTTTCTTTTATTCTATTTAGAAACAGCAACAAAATGAAACTAGACAACAAATTTTGTCGAAATCCAATGAATATATAATGCGAATGAGATTGATCAAGAAATATCTTACATTCTCACTCTTGAATGCCTTTGCATTTGGACAGCAAGAATGGTTCATACAACTCTGCAGAGGAAAGAACGCAGTTCCTACATGGAAGATATATACACGTTGATCTCAACTTTAAGAAGTAAATTAAATAAAATAAGATGCTTTGTAAGAGTTCTATTTTCTTCTTTTTCATTTATCCTATGAGCTTGAATGAGAAGGAAAAAGTATACAATTAGTATTACAATACGCATGAGACTTTTCAGTTCAATTAATGTTAGCATAAAATGCAAATCCAGGCCACTCAATTAGAAAGTTCAATATTTGCAGCAAATGCATAAATGACCTACAAAGTCCACTATATTATTCTTAATCCCCAGTCATTAAAATACACGTAGCCCACCTTGACAACAAATTGAGTAATCATCATCAAGGGCATCCAATATTGAACGAGTTACAGCTTCAGCTGCTTTCTGCGAAAATTTTCAAGAAAATAGGCTGTAATAAAGGAAATAATCTAACCTTTGGGGATCCTGGTAGATCATCTAATAAAGGAAAACAGGGCAATGTTTAGAAACAAGTCAGAAGCAGCATCTAACCTTTGGGGATCCTGGTAGATCATCTAAAAAGAGGAAATAATCTTCGACAGGAGAGGCCACAATCAAATCACTACAAATAAAAGAAATATTAGAAATGATGATTTCCTTTTTTCTAATTCATTTTCTGTTGTGGAGAGGGGTGGGGGGAGAGGGGGGGGGGTGGGGGGTGGGGAGGTATAAACAATTTTACTTACAGATTATTTAACTCAAACATGCCAATGATATGACCATAAATCTCCAGCGAGAATACTTAAGATTGTCAAGGATAATATGTCAAAAGTTAAAACGCAAAACAAGACTTATTCAAGCAAAGAGCAAGGATACGAGGTGCACACTCTTCATCAAATATGGCTGCTTTCAAGAGCTGCAGTGACTGGCAAGCATAGTATGACATTAGGGTTGCCTACTATAGCTATAAAGAAAAAGCATAGTAGTGTCAACACAATGCATGACTATCGGCATACATATATGTAGATCCTGGTTAGGGTGATGCTAAGCTGAACAATGTTAAGCTTCTTTAAAAAGAAAATAATAAATGACATTTTAGAACATGTTTTGAAAAAAATTCAGTTTCCTGACTTCATGCAATATTTAAACAGAAAATATGTCCATTAGTTAGCTGGGAAACGTTTTCCAGCAATATTGTTTTCCCTATTCTAGTATTCTCCAGAGTAATATAAGCCAGCCAGTGAAAGGATAGGTTTGGCAGAAAAGCTATTCTTCAAACAGTGGAAAATCATTTTTCCCCTAAAGGGAAGCCATGGCTTCAGTCATCTTCTTTGATAACACTCTCTCTCTCCACACTTTCTCCCTGCAACTGAATAACCTGAATAATTGAAGATACGTCTCTTTCCTTCTGAATTTTGGAACACTTTTGCTCATCTCTCTACTCTCTGATGAGAGTTTGCAGGAAGGAGAATTTGAACGGCGAATCATTTGCAGAACCTATCACCTTCTTATTAGATCCTTTGGGTTACAATTTGGGCTGCCAAAAACAAGGTTGGATCACAAGACAGGGCAGAAGATGGGCCTTTTTGGACCCATTGAAGACCGACAATCCACATGCCAACCCAAGGTTCATAACCCACCTCACAAGAATCCTTGGGACTATATGTGACCTAAATGCTAAAACATTAAAAACCTATCATAAGTAGGATTATAACAAGATGTAAACTAATACTTCTAAGATTACGGAGTAAAACTCTAGTATTCAAACGGTTCACTTATTTGGCGCCAAAGGAATGCTTAATCTTGCACATTAATTTTGTTTGATCATCAAGTAAAAGTGCATGTGAGGGACCCATACATAACATTACATCACATTTAGATTTAAAAATAATTTACACCAAGCCAATCAAAGCCTAAATGTATGAGGTTTTACTCTCAAAATTCATTGATAATCTAACATGGCCATATTAAATAGTAAGGATTGAAGATTACAAAAGCCCCTACACACAGCATTATCTTCTCTCTCATGCCTAGACCATTTTTGGTTAAACAAAAAAGGCCTCTCTCCAAAATGGGCAGAGAGTGGCTCTTTATAGCTGATAGCCCAACTAATTTTGAGAATTTGAGCATATCAAATAAGCATAACAATAAAAACTTTGATCTCACAGTTCCAACTTTATTTAGCATATTCTCATTTTTGATGTCCAAAAAGAAATCCATATAAATAAATAATAATGCAATGCTCTCTAGTTTTCCTAGAATAAAAAGACAGCTTATACTAGAGATCTCACAAATTATAGAAGGCATAGTTGTAATAAACTAACCTAAGGAGGGGCAATATGGGTAGTCTATAATAATTAGGTTGATAGTCTTAGTTTATTATAAATAGGGAGAGAAGAAAGGAAAAGGGCAGGAAGAATTTGGAATGAATGTTTTAGGAGAGTTGTGACCTCGAAACACTATTAGGAGAGTAGTACCTCAAGCCACCTTGGAGAATTGGAACCAAAAGATGCTAGTTTGTAAAAAGCTCTAACCTTTTCAATCAAAGAATCAATCTTTTTCTCTCTATTTTCCTGTTATTTTGTGTAAGTTAGCAGTAATTTCAGTCTATTACATAGTTGTAAGATGCAAATCTCACTTTCTGATCCACTCATATGATAAAATTTCCAAATCTTTAGGGCATTTGAAAGTCCTACGCTATAAATATGTGAACATTGAAATTAAAAACCCTCTCTCTGTATCAATTAATCTATCCATAAATCAGAACTGCTACCCTTTGATGCTAAAAACATCCATATAAGTCAAGACTTATCACCTAAATTAAACTTATATTGGCTGCAAGACTCCGAAGAGTCTGAACACCAGTAAATATAAACAAATCCTTTCAATTTTGATGACTTGGTTGAATAGCTCAGTGAGTACAAACACAACTTGAGGATCTTCACACTCAGTTGAATGAACAAAACAACTCTTTTTAAATGGTAGAAAAGATATGGCTTTGATACTATTGTTCCCAACTTACTACACTCTGTAATAGACTGAACTTCTGACTTAGTATTTTCTGATTTAAAGGCTAATAAAAAGATAAAAGCTTGAGTTTTTGATTAATAATGGCAGAATTTGATACAAAAGTGATAGGTTAATAGCTTAAGGCTATTGCTCACCTTGATAACTTTAGGTTATCACTCTCCTAAGTAACTTGAGGTTAACATTCTCTCAACATATTTCCTCACAATTAACATAATGTCCTACTGCATATACTATCCCCTATTTATACGAAGGCCAAGGACAACTAACCTAAAAGTACTCGACTTCCCAAATTGCCCTTCCTAGTGTTAGTCTATCACATTACCGCTCCCCTAAACTTCCACCTTGTCCTCAAGGTGGATAAAAATCAGCACTCGATTCACGGCAAAAGCAATTATCTCTCAAAGTTGATGAAGGAGGAGAATGACTTTTGAGAGTGGAAAGAGCAAGCTGCATATAAACTGTAGTGGTGAGTTGATGGGTTAAAAAATGGTAGTTGACAGAATGGGTATTGAAGGTTAAAGAAAGAATAATGGGCCTAAAGTCACTAAGCCCATCTTTTTGCCTTTCTTCTTTCGTAAAGGAAAAAGAAACTCTTAACTTAGTAAGCCCAATCAATCTCAATACCCCACTGTATTGACTTAGGTTGGTATGCTGGCAATTTCTCTGGTTTGAAGCACGTGACCACTGGCTGAATCCATTTGTAATATCTTCAAGTGGTATTACCATAGTGCCCTTAATAACAATTTTCATAATTGGCTTCCTCCACAAGCCAAAGAAGATTCCAGTCAAACCTCTACCAAAAGCTGCTCCTTCTGCAGACTTCAAGAAACCTCGTAACCACTCCTCTTGAATCCTTCCTCTTGCTCCATTTCCGCCAAACCTCCACCGCCGGTAAAACCACAAGCGAAATCACCACGCTTCTACTGCGTGAAGCCACCACGACCAACACCGTATCTGCCATGGAAGTTCCTGCGCCATCCCCCACCTTTTTCTCCGATGACCAAAAGCCCAGACCACCACCAGATCCACTTCCTCAGGCACCACCTTTCTCAAAATTTCCTCCACCCTTGTAAATGTTGCCCTTCTCACTAAAACCACCAGTAAAAACACTTTCAAAAGTGATAGTTTCACCACTAAAACCCCTAGCATCGCTAAATCCACCTGCATTCCCATCAGCTTGTGCGCGAGATCCACCACCAAACTCGCCGGCAATTTCACCTCGACCTCGACCTCCACCAGTAAACCAATCTCCGAAATCTCCAAGCCTACCACCATATTTGAATTCTTTTGCAAAACCCTTACCTACAATTCAACTCGCCATCCAGATCCCATGAACCACCAAATCTCCCATCGACACGGCTTGCCTCGCATACAACTCTTGGGTTGTATGTGAAACCCTTAGGTAAGTCATCTTTGAAAGTGCTCACCGCAGTGCTAGATCCCCACCCCACCTTGACTCTTCTCATGTACTACCTCGCTGCCGGACAGGAATCAAATTGTGCCGTCATCGAACAGAAATGGCGGACCAGAACACTCATAGAATGGTAGCCACTTGTGTTCACATTCGAACCACTGCAACGCTTTGCCGCAAAGCCCAATGATGGCAACCTTGAGCTTCTCCTATTCATTTAACTGAAAAAAATAAAAGTAATCCTCCATTTGGAAAATCTAGTCATCTGAGTTTCTTTCATTGAATTCGTGAATTAGAAGCTCCTTCCGGATTCTCTTCTCCTCCTCGAGATCCGAAATTTCTCACTCCCTTTTAAAGGATATGTGTTTAAATTCCTCAAGAATCCATTTCTTCATGAGTCATGCGCCACCTGTTCCACCAAACTGCATTGCTCAAATTTTTTTTTTTTTTTTTTTTTTTTTAATATCAGGGAGGTTTCCGGCGTAATAAATTGAACTTTTTAACTTAGTATTTTCTGATTTAAAGGCTAAAAAAAAAAGATAAAAGCTTGAGTCTTTGATCAATAATGGCAGAATTTGATACAAAAGTAATAGGTTAATAGCTTAAAGCTATTACTCTCCTTGATAACTTTAGGTTATCACTCTCCTAAGTAACATTCTCTCAACATATTTCCTCACAATTCACATAATGTCCTACTGCATATACTATCCCCTATTTATACGAAGGCCAAGGACTACTAACCTAAAAGTACTCGACTTCCCAAATTGCCCTTCCTAATGTTAGTTTATCAAAAATGTAATAGACTGGCTTTAGGAGGGGTAATTTGGGAAGTCTAGTATTCTTATTAGGTTATGGTCCTTAGCTTTAGTATAAATAGAGAGAAGGGGAAAGGCAAAAGATAGGCCGAAATTTGGTGTGAAACCTCTAAGAGAGTCATGGCCTCAAGACATTTTGAAGAGTTGTGAGCTAAACTCACTATTTCAGAGTAATAGCCTTAAGCTATTAACTTATCTTTTGTAACCTTTACACCATTATCAATCAATCTTAAAGCTTTCGTTTTAATTATTGCATTATTAAATCAGAAATATTAAGCCAGAAAATTCAGTTCATTACACTTGGTATCAGAGCGGTGTTCCTGGCGGTCCGGTGTCTGTAACTACCACTTCAAATTATTTGTTTTTAAAAAAAATGGTGCTTGATATCACTGGAAGAGAGGCATCACAGCATATGCAGAATTGGATCCAAGAGGAATTCGCATACATTTCCAGCAAGAGAGAGCGTGGAGTTTCAAATCTCAATGACGAGCGAGGAGTCTGATGCGAGCTTCAACTTCGTGAGTTTAATGGAAGGAATCTGGATAACTGGATACTACAACTAGAGGATACCTTCCAATTTTTCCAGTTAAATTAGGAGGTGAAATTGAAGGGTGCCATCATTGGGCTTAGCGGCAAAGCGTTGCAGTGGTTTGAATGTGAACACAGGTGGCTACCAATACGAGAGTGGCGGGTTCTGAAGGTAGTGTTGGTGAGTCGTTTCAGCTCGTCATCTTTAACGTTCTAGAAGGCATAACAAACTCCACACAATCAATTGAAGAGGAAACGAAGGTGTCATCTTAGATATTCTTCATAGGAGGCAGAGGAAATCACGAAGAGAATCATTGGAAATGTTCAAAGAGATTTGGAAAAAATCACTAACAAAGCCTCTTCTCCAATGAAGAAGCAAGAAGACTATCAAGCAAAATTGGAAGATGAAAATGCAAATAATGAAGAGGAAGATCAGGTACACCCTAGATTAGAAGATGATTAGGGAATTTTTGTAGGGGGTGTAACTGTTGGTAGTTTGGAAAACCATGAGTCCTTGACGGGGGTTTTGGAGGAGTTAACTCTAGTGGTAGGCTTGGCGGTATTGGGGATGAATTCGCTGGTGGAGGTCTAGGTAAAGCCGACGGCAAATTTGGTGGTGGACATCGTGGGCTTACTGGTGGTGTTCAAAATGATTTTGAGGGAAGTAGTTCTAGAAAGAAGCTAGTTGGTGTCTCAAGTGGTTCACCAGCACACCAATTTGAGAAGGGAGGTGCTGGAAGAGGTGGGTCTGGCGGTGGTCTAGGATTCTTAGCCGGAAAAGGTGAGTTTGGTGGTAAGGCCACCACTAGAAGTGGCCTAAACAGGAACGGAGTTGGCTTCGTGAAAGGCGGGTCAGTAGCTAGTGGGTCAGATGGAGGGCCTGGAGTTATGGCCGGGAAAGGTGAGGATAGTGGTAAGACCACCACTATCGGTGGCTTAAGTATAAAAGGAGGTGTCTTCATAAGGGATGGATTCTGGATGCAGTTTGCTTGAACAAAAGGATGTTGGTGTTTTTGGAATCATGGACGCGGAAGGGTTAAGAATGGTGATTTTTCTTTAACCGGCCAGAGGCAAAAACGGTGAAATTTGCAAGTAAGACGGTGCGCTTCTCCCAGGCGGGTTTGCCGGTAAAATTGAGTCGTCGTCATCGATGGTTGCAAGAAAGGGTGGTGGTTTCGCCGGTGGTTTTACCGGCGGTGGGGGTTTTGTTGGAGGTGGAGCAGGTGGGAGGTTTCAAGAGGGGTGGTTACTTTGTGGTTTCTATGGTTATGTAGGCAAAGAAGTCTTTGGCTTGCGGAGGAAGCCAATTCTGAAAAGTGCTAGTAAGGGTATTTTAGTAACACCATAAAGATATTGCAAATAAATTGAGCCAAGGATCACGTGCTTCAAACAAAACAGATTGCCAATGTACCAAATATAGTGGGTACTGAATGGGCTTACTCATTAGAAGCCCAACCTATAATTTTTTGGGGTGACTAACAAATTAAACTCTTCAAGTTATGGGCTTATTAATGTTAGGCCCATCCATCTAACATCAGTTTAAAATCCAAATTCACCACCCAATTTTCCCTCTATCATTCTTTATTTTAACCTTGAGCCCACAAAACCATCAACCTGTAGACCTCCTCCCAAGACGTTCCCCCATTTCTTTAGCCAATGATTAAACCAAAATGTTCATTGCAATTTGCCCTACCCACAACCAACTAATCCCTAGTCAACGAAGACCAACTCTACCCAAAATTCAATGATCTCTCAGGACAAGCTTTCTGCAAGGGGAGCCCCAAACTTTCAAAAATGAACAGAAATCCTCACTGCAGTTCGCTCTCGCTTTTGGCACATTCATGAGATGCAACAGTGACCATTGTTGCCAAGGTCGGAAATCAACGACCGCTTATTATCCACCTTGAGGACACAAGGTGGAAGTTTAGGGGGCCGGCAATGTAATAGACTGGCTTTAGGAGGGGTAAAATGGGAAGTCTAGTATTGTTATTAGGTTATGGTCCTTAGCTTTAGTTTGAATAGAGAGAGGGGGAAAGGCAAAAGAGAGTCATGGCCTAAAGCCATTTTGGAGAGTTGTGAGCTAAACTCACTATTAACTTATCTTTTGTAACCCTTCCACCACTATCAATCGACCTCAAAGCTTTCGTCTATATAATTGCATTATTTAATCAGAAAATTCAGTTCATTACACACTCATGGCTGATACTATTTATTACAAACAAACAACAGAATAAACCTTCACAAGCAAGAACAAGCTCTTCCTTCACAAATAATTTAAGTTATATGATAGGATCAAAAAATAAAAAGAAAGCACCATGCCAATGATGTAAGAGATAAATCAATTTATGCATAAAATTAAAAAATTCAAATTGTAAGACTACACACCTATAGCTCATAAAGGACAGTCAAATAATCACACATCCTTCATTCATTATGATCAAGCATTAATTAATGAGATTAACAATCAGTTCACTGTTCTTAAAATTGGATGACAAAAAAAAAAATATTAAGCCCCAGGCTAACTAGATCCATGAAAATAATTTTAGATCAATTAGGCACAAGGAACCTTTTTTCAAGTCGTACAAGCATTTCATGAAAAATCATGTAAACATTTAAGGCTTGCAATTCAAAAGGTTGTATAGGAAGCACTTAACTAAAGTGCATAAAGTTGGCAAGTGATAACCTAATCCCTGATATATATATATATATATATATATATATATATAAAAAAAAAAAAAAAAAAAAAAAAAAAAAAAAAAAAAAAAAACCTAACTATATACATTGCGGCTTTGGAAGACTTTGGTCTTGTAACTAAATTTATATTTTTGGCACATATACAGTGACTGTTAGAAGCACAAAGATAAGAAAGGAGTTGGTCTTGTCACCCCCACCCCACCACACACACACACACATCACAATGACAATGACAATGACAAAGACTTTCAAGTTTTCGATGTTTTGCAGCTTTTTTCACCCCCACTCCACACCCTCACACACAAAGACTTTCAAGTTTTTGATGTTTTGCAGCTTTTTATCCACACACACACACACACACGCACGCGCGCACACACACACACACACACACACAAAAATCAAAATCATAAACTTTCAAGTTTTGGGTGTTTTACAGCTTGTTTTCTCAACTATGTTGGCTAACTGCTTCTAGATTTCCAAATAAATATCAAACCATGCCATTACTACAGCTTTAACCCTGAACCAGCCTAAAGTTTCGCCACGGATTTCAGAGGATATTCCATCCCATTATTTGAGAACAAGTTAGTTGATCCATTATCAGGATTTATAAGGAATACAAAATTTCCTATTGTTCTACTGCAAGAGATATTATGCATAAATTTTACTGTACTCCTACATTTATCGCAAAATTTACATACAGCTTTACAAATAAAAACTGTACCCTAGAAAGCACAACTATTAACATGTAACATAAAATCAATGGCTTTATTTACAAAGTTATTTAAATACAAAAAGGATTACCTCAAATGCAAGCTCTTTAAACTGCAATCTAAATGCAACTTCATTGCATTTCTCAACATCTTCAGGTAATGCAATGCAATCCCACCACCTAAATTTAAGGCATAAAATATTGTTAGTCCTTCAAGACATTCCAGGAATGATTGCAAAACATTAGACATATCTACATCATCATCTTCTTCTAAAATTGATACTAACATCTTTCATATATTCAGTAAAATTATGCTAGATATGCTTGCAAAGAAGTTTGTGACCCTGACTTTGGTAAATACAAAATGGAAAAAACAAAAGGTACGGAAAAAATAAATAAAATAAAAAAAAATTGCATATCCAAGTTTAATTCTTCCTATTGAGTTTGCAAAGCAAATTAAAGGATTTACATATAATGACAAGTATAACAATAGGACAAAGAATTTATGTTGCACAGAAAATTGTTCTGAGGCAATAATCACAGTACCGTGCAAGATATTACAAGTTCAAATTGACAACTCCAATCTTGTTCAAAAAAAGAAAAAAAATATATTGTATACAGAATTACAGACTACAAAGACTAATTTACTGCCACATGAGTGTTTTAGAGGGTTGCATTGCATAGCGTAATAATAGTAAGTAATAATTATTACTCCTTTTGTCCCTATAATATAGGCCACATTCGATTGAATATCATTTTTAAGATTCTGAGTTGAATACCATAACTATCCTTTCACAATGTGTTTACATCACCATCATATCAATGTAGTCTGTTTTAGAATTTTGAAAGGCTTAGGGTACTATCAAGGGTCATATGCAAAACTGCAAAAGTTTAAAAAGAATTTATCATTTAAGCTTTCAGTATGTTTATTTATAAAGTAAAATAATTTTCTTAAATTAAAACAGTCTTCCAATTACAATATTATTACCTTCTAAGATAAATATTGCATGAAGAGATATTTCTCAAGGACTGCTTTCTTACAAACTCAACAATCATAGTCAGTCAGAATTCATTATGTTCCAAACTCCAACATAGTTCTCAAACCTTCAAAACATCATACCCAGACATAGATATGGAACACACAGCATAATTATTTCAGATCTTAAATGACTCCTTGATAGTAATTTATCATCGAATACCTAGAAAGTAGTCTAATTGACAGATTCAAGATGTCTTCTGCATCAAATTAATAGTTTAATGGGGATAATATTGATCAGTACCACTTGTTTCTAGTACCTTCTCTTGTACCCCATAGAGAATGGCTTCCATGCTTCCAGAAGTAATGATAAGTCAACTGGTGCATCACTCGAAGGTTTACAGCCTACTTCTTTGAGACGAGCTTCCTTCAACTTCTTGTATCTCAGACTGGTCATAGCAATGACCTGAAATCCAGTACCGGGAAAAGCAAATGACCTTAGTAATGGTTAAACACCACCACCTTACACTAAAACAGTGAAAAAAAAAAAAAATACATTCAAATCAGATTTTGTAGGAGAGGAATATATTTTGTAAATTTTATCGTTTCAATACAATATTCTGTACTCTGCATGAAATGATAATAAAGATATCAAGCAGCCCATGCTAAACTTGGACCAAGAACCAAAGGGTCAACATGTGTTAGACATACTTGGGATACAGAATCAAAATGGGTGTGGATCTGGGTATTTGTCCGTCAAAAATTAATATTAAGGACACAGGAAGTCGTTCAAAGAGTCCACGCACTTACTCAAGGCATCAAGAGATGGGACTCAATTGTAGAATTGGATCTAAGTAACACATATTGTGACTCTCCGAAAAGATTACGATGTTACACATTCTTTGAGATGTTTATCACAAGTCAATTAAAATTAAAAAATACATTTGCAAAGCTATTCCATGTCCCATTCACTTACTGCTATTTGCCAAAATTATATTCTCATTTCTTCTAATATTTTCAAAGGCCGAAATTAAGGAATTCTGTAGGCATAGATAAAGACTGTTGAGAACAAGAGACCCCTCAGTTCGTTGATTTGGTGTGTGCCTGTTTGGTTCAACTTTTTACTTCTTTCCCTATGTTAAATGAGCTGAGCATAAATAGTTTCATAAGCTTGAATTCGGGTTTGGTGGGTGGGGGTGGGAAACTCTTACCTTGGCAGCTAGAATAAAGATGTCATTAGTATCTGCAGTATTACAAATTTGAGAGGATAAGTTGGAAAGACAAAAAGGAAAAGAATCACAAAATCAATAAATCAAGAGTCTTACGATTTGCATGTTCTACAAACTTGGACAGTGATTTCCGGCAAGCAGACTTCGAATTCTCCCCGATACAAAGCAAAGAATGACAGGTTTCCCAGTCAATCTCTGCACAAGATTTACTGTAGACAGACATCATTAGATATCAAGTGGTATACACAAGCAGCTGTGAGATGAGATTAGTTATATACAAGTACAAAACAGTTTTTGGTTGGTCAGCATAAAATATGTACTGGTATCAGGGCTGTTGGATTCTTTTATGATATGACTATATGTCTGAGTCTTGCTCCTCAAAATTCTTCAACAAAATGGCTCTACCTTTTTCACCGGCAAGAGGTCTTTATATTAATATGATCATAGAACATTGCTGTAAATATATTATTATGTGCATTGCTGCTATATAATATTATAATTTAATCAATTAGCATAAATTATAAGGGGCAAACACAGATAGGCACAGGAAGAAAATGGTTTACAACATAAATTCCAACTTGTTAACGATAAGCCAATAGTATGATCCATACACCATACCCACCAAAACCCAATTTAAGTGTGATCCTACTATTAATATTATAATCAACTAACAAAATGCTTTTCAGCTATTACTGATCATTCTCCTCATACTGTTGATATTGTTAATGCTACGACTTGTGAACATAAACCTTACCTATTCTCCTCATACAAGTTCAAAAATATCCTATTTTACTAAAATAAGGTTTGGGCATTACCTGCAGTAGTACTCTTCTCCACAACCACCAGGGCAAGGATATGGTGATGGCAAGGAGAACTTTTCAGTGTAGGGTAATACAAGTTGGCCACCCATTAGTGACTCAATAACTTCCTGAGAAAGTGGAATCCTGTCCTTTGAGTTCGAAGCAGAACACTCTCCTAGATTAGTATCTTCTAGTTCACAAGAGCCATCTTCCCCATCAGAAGAGTCACTATGGCATTGATTGCTAAAAGAAGCACCTAGTCCTTGAAAATAGAGTTTTCTCCCAATTTGAAGTTCAATTGAGCCTATGAAACAGAAGCAAGAGCCACATACAAAACAGTCCATCTGCAAATGGCAAGATTAAGCACTAGTGACTTATTTTGTAAGAGTATTAAGCGGATCAGAGAAACAACATCATCGGTCACATCAATAAGACCTTGTTGGTAGAGTGCTGTGAGCCCACTAGCATTTGGTCTTTCAGCACAAGTTCTCCGTCTTTGAATTCAGCATCAGCATATACTCCTGCAGTATATATCATGAAGATATGACATCAGATTTGTATAACAAACAGAAATGCAACAGTAATATATAAAAAAATTGTATGCTTAACAGAAGCATACAAATAATTAGGTTGGCAATATTGGCATTCTACACAACAAAAATACTCAAGAACCAAACATTAAAAAATCATATGTTGCCCAACTCATTAGACCAGCTAAAAATATGGCCAAACATAAATAATAAATTATACTTGTATATCAATTCTTCTTTACTAATATTTTACATGAGTCATGAGAAAAGATAAAGACCGACATATAGATATATATATGGTCCATCGAAACAAAGTCTTCTTGAGAAAATTAGTAATTTCATTGGCTCAGAGAGGTTAGGAGTCTTAGGACTGCTGAAGGTATAGTACCTTAGACCTAAAAGCTACATACTTCTTCCTAATTATTTTGCTAAAACTCCTTTATCATTTGTCCCAACTTAATTTGACCATTTTTTGGCAATGGTCAAAAGTACACTGTTATATCCTATCACATCTACCTTTTTTGTTATGATAACATTTGATAACTAACAACTATTCGTGGTGTGTGTGTGTGTTGGAGGAAATGATTGAATTTGAATATTCTAATAAGATAATATTACTTCCCTTTTTGAAGGTTGTAAACACTTTTCGTTTTCACTAATTTGATAATGTTTTTTACATTTTTTCTATATTTCAATTTTGACAAACCCCTTTGACTACCTTAGTACCTTACCCCTCTTACCCGCACAATATTTACACTTTTTCACTCATTCTCCCTTTTTTATCTAACTTTTCCTTACACTCATCTATCGTTTTACACTATTACTTTATCCACCATTTCCCTACACTCCCACATCAACACTCTCTCTCCAACTACCTTAATTTGCTTTTAAACAAAAAATGTTATGTTCAGAATGGAATGGAACATACATTGGACTGAATTGGTTTTAATAAACCTTCTTCTCATTTTATTGAAATAAATACCTTTTGCAATTTTTATGATATTCAACTACGGAACTACCTTTCAATAATAATAAATAATTTTTAAAACCTTTCATTTATTATTATATTTTTGGAAACTCAATCACAATACCACATTATAAAGGTTTTCAGCTTACCACGACCATAATATTAAGTTGTGACAACCGTAAACCATCATATTGCCTAGGAAAATGGTATAAAAACTATTGTCATTATAATAACCACAACCAATATTTTTGAAAAGTTCAACACAAGGAAGTATGCCACTCAAATTTAATCCACAAGTAGAATTTTGATTTCTTTCCAAAGGAGTAAGTAATAAAGGGGATAATTTCATTCATGGAAATGAAAGAATTAAGAACTAAACATGAAAAGCTTAACAGCCTAGTACTTTTCTTTCGTTAAAATGTGCCCAAGTTGCAATGAATGTAAATAAATAAATTGCCACATTGTAATTATTAATAATGACAAAATAACTCGCAAAATTTCTAGGGTAATAAAAAGCCAAAGGAAGTATTGTAAGATGACGTGTTATAGAGAGTTTATTTATGAGACGGAAAAGAACTTAGATAAGGAAAAATTCATCATTGTGTATGAGTTGCACAACAAACCACGACATGAAGTTATTTCTAAGAGCATCTAAAATGGTTGTAATTCTACCTTGACCATTGGAGTTACAATGGAATATTAGCTATCAGACAATAGAAAGAAAAATGGTACCTAACCATTGATTGACAAGTGGAGCACATTTAAATAGAAATATACTCTTTCCGTTCCTTTTTATTCTTTACTTATTCGGTTTAAGCGTTCCCCTTTTTTTTATGTTTCGTTTCATAAAAAAAGTAGAAATAAAATTGAAATCTCACTAATTTTAATTTAAAATTAGAAAGATTCCAATTTTATCTCCTATTCCATAAAACATGTGACCATCATTAACTGTATACCCATTGAAACCAAGTTTTTTATAAATATTTATTTACTACGTATTCAGTATTTTCGTTGCATCTTTTGGGCTCTCTTTTAATTAAAGTAACCACAAAATTTGTGTGCATGATACTAACGTAGAGAATAAAAAGGAATGAAGGGAGTAGTAACTAAAGTTTAAGGTACAAACTAGGTAGAAAGAAATTAGCTTGAAATATAATGTGATAATTGAAGATGCTCCAATATCAAGCAATGAGGTCGTTTCTTATTTAGATAAGTCACTATAACTTCACTTATTGGTGTATAAATTATTGCCTTGCACCAATAAAGCCCCTTGAATTGTATCACATCATTACATGAATTACACAAGCTTGAAACCTCTCAATCTCCCATCATTCTTAACAAAATTTAGTGTTAAATTGTATACATGTACTAGATTGCAAAATAAATCAAATTTATCACTTCATTCTTTGACAATTATAAATCCCATATGAACAATAATCCAATCAAAAGGACATAAGAAAGCTAGTGTATTCTTCATTGTTCTCCACTCCATTTAACTCAAAAATCATCCTACACCAAATTTTTGACCAACGGTCAAATTGGAGTATATAATTTCATGTGGCAGGGATAAATAATCTTGTGATGCTACTGAGTTGTAAAAGGTTTAGTGAGACAAATAGATCTCCATGTTGCACAACAATGCAATAGTTGCAACAAAAAAGTACTTGATTACAACACTAAAACTGCGCATAAAACAATGCACATCACCATAGTGGAAGTATGAAGTATCAATAAAGTTTTCATTTTGCTACTTGTATAAATACATACATACATACATACATACATACATACATACATACATACATACATAAATTTATCACTTTGGAGTGTGTGTCTTAACTTTAAAGTAGAGTTGTCAAAAACTGCCCAATCTAATCCCAAATGGACCAAAGCACGAATTTATTATGCACGAACACGATGAACCAGCATAACCCTAATAAGCCTAACTTACACGACTCGACACATCAAAATCCATTCCAAACTCAACCTAGACTCCTGATTCCACAACTCAACATGTTATGAAGTACATATGAATAATTAAAAAAATAAAAAAAAAAAACAACACATTTGAACCCTACTAAGCTCACTAGATTATTTACTAAGGTATTCAAGAAACACACCCCAAAAAAAAAAAAATAATAATAATAAATAATAAATTTGCAGACAATCTAGATATATGACAACTGAATGCACCATAAAAAATGAGCATAAAAAAATTGCAAATAAAATGAAATGAAAAGCAAATAAAAGTTATAAATTTACCCTTTCCAAGTTCACCATCAACTTTAACTTTGAGTCCATGACATGGCCTTGATGCTACCAGTTTATCAAAATATTCCTAACAACCCACCAACAAATGTCAAAAATTTACACTCACTGTTTATCAAAGTCAAAAAGAAAAAAAATCCAATATATATTTAGGGATTATTGGTACCTGGGTTTCGTGAGCAGGCCCGTCCCTGAGGAAGGGCAGGAGGGGCGGCAGCCCTGGGCCCAGGGAAAAGAGCTCTGATTTCATAGTTGAATCCTAACATTAAAGTGTTGTGCAATACATTAGCAACCAAATTTGATTCAATTATCTCATAATTTTAGGGATATTTGATATGATGATAACAAATTCAAACAACTTACCTCAGAAGCTGCTTCAATGGGGGATACAAGAACTAGATTCAACGGAGAACGGCAACTGCGCTTCAATGGAGAACGTTGAATACGCTTCAACAGAGCAATTCAATGGGTTGGACGCCTTGGATCCCTATTAAAAGCCATGACCCGCCACAGTTACTAATGGGTTAGATCCGTCTAATAAATAAATGGGCTAAGTCTTTATACGATCGTCCAATTAAAGTACGGGGTTTAGAGTAAACCTGTTTAAAAAGTACGGAGTATTAGTTTATCTTTACACTTTCATTTCTCAAATACTATTTTCACACACCAAAGCTTGTATAATTTGTTTGTAAGTTTTTTTTTTCATTTTTTTTTAAGTTTGAAAACGGCTGATGTTTGGGGTAAATCCCCCCCCCCTATGCCACGTGGCTCAATGTCGTGCTGACACGTGGCAGCCCTTCAATGACCCATTGGGATCCAATCGGATGCTGACACGTGGCATTGTAACCCTAATGGGGGAGCAGATCTTCATCTGCTATAAATAGAGGAAATTCCTCATTTATTACACATTCATAAATACATACACAAGAACCGAGCAATATTAATTGCGGAATCTCTCTGAATTAGGGAGAAAAACCCATTTACCTTCCGCACTTTTACCCATCCGGAATCATACTAACTTGATCGTCGGAGGCGGAACTCCACCCAACCGGTTTTGTGGTTTTGCAGGTACGGACGTCAGGCGCGCATTCCTAGAATTGTAATTCTCCTGAGGGATTTCAAAAAAAACCCGAAACATTTGGCGCCGTCTGTGGGGAGAGTACTTCTGAGATGGCATCTGACACTGTACCGCCTGTAGTGGGCAGCCAGCCTACGGTTGAACCTGAGGTCCATACGGACCATGACAGTGGTGAAGACTACGAGGTCGACACCTATGTGGCCCCAAACGGGTCATTTCGAACAAGACGCACCCGTTCCAAAGAGAAGAAGGAACGGGGCCAAGAAAAAGCTGGTCCCAGCAACCCAAGCGGCAAGCACTCTGGGCAACCCCAGGCGGCAGAGGGCACAACCCCCGTCACCAGAGACGAGCTCATGAAATTCATGACGAGTTTCAAGGGGGAAATAAAAAACATAATTAAGAAGTCAACTGGCTCAAACAAGGGTCAGTTGACAAAGAAGCCTTCACCCTCTGGGAAGAAGCAAATCAAAGACCGGGTGCCTACTCCTCATCCCAAACCCAAGGGGACGGATGGGCCCCTGATCGACCTCTCAAAACTTCGTTTCCCTGAATCAGGGCAAAAGAAGGCCATCCGATCCGGCAAGTTCAGTCAGATGGGTCAAAAAAGACTTTCTCTGACGCCCGGATGTTCATCCAGGAGAAGAGAAGTCAGCACATGTTTGGGTCGGCCTCGACGTCGACTTACCCAGACAGTTTCCGCAATACTTCAATGAAGCATTTGGAGACGCATCAAGGGAGTCAGTCACGCGGCATGTCCGCACGTACTGGCCCTCATATCATCCAGCCGGTTCCGTATGTGCCCCAACAGTCATACATGCCGTATGGATCACCATACATGCAGCCGTCCCCCTTTGGGGGTCAGGCGGCACATCAAGTCCAGCCCATGGACTGGCAACTCCGGCTGCTCAACCTTGGGGAATAGCCTTTGGCTTTCTCCCGGGAGATAACTGAGGCGGCACAGCCGATCAAGGTTAAAAATGTGTTAGTTGGTACCTACGACGGTACCACCAACCCGGAAGACCACCTAATGGCATACACCAACCTCATGTACCCATAGGGGTTGGATGATGCCGCATGGTGCTGATGCTTCCCGACTACATTGAAGGGCATAACCCAACGATGGTTTGGCAACCTGGCAGCCGGGTGCATCAACATCTTCAAGACGCTTGCATACCTGTTTGCGTCCAACTTCTCCATGAACATCCCTGCCAAAAGGACAAGTCTCGACCTAGGGGTTATCTAGCAGGGAGACAAGGAGGGACTACGGTCCTATGTCAGGTGGTTCAATCTGATGAGAATTCAAATCCAAGGGCTGTCTGACGAAGTTGCATACACAGACTTCTTCAAGGGTCTGAAGGACGGGTCGACTTTCAAGTTCGACCTGGTCCGCAAGAGGGTTGCCACCCTCCAAGAGGCGCTGATGGAAGCCGAAGCCTACATACAGGCGACGGAGCTCTGTGCCATCAAGCACTCGTCGGAGCCCAGACGGTCCGACAAGAGAGACAGCCGGCCTTCCCAGCCGGCCAAAAAAGAAGAGGGCAAGAAAAGAAAAGAAGTTTGGGCGGCGGATCGCTCTAGTCAGCCGTCCCAGAAGAAACAGAGAAAGTTGGAACTGTACGTCCCCAAGTACGAGTTCAACAAGGACTACTCCTCCATCCTCATGGAGATCAAAGACCGGTTAACTCTTGAAAAATCGGCTACTATGAAGAGTTTTATCAAGAACCGTGACAAGAGCAAGTACTGTCTCTTCCATGAGGACGTTGGTCATGACACCAATGGTTGCTATAGCCTCAGGCGGCTATTGGACCGTTTGGCTGACGAAGGGACTCTGAAATCCTACTTGGTGAAGTCCAAGGGTAACCTCAAACCCAACAATGGACAACCGTCAAAGAAACCGGCTGTGAGTTCCGATACTAATGAAGAGCACATCTTCACCATAGCAGGCGACTTCGCAAGCGGAGGTCCAACCATCCGGGGTACCAAGGATAACATCCGAAAACTATCCAACCCAGAGGATGAGGGCCAGGCGTCGAAAGACACCTTCCCTGAGGTCTTCATCTCTGAGAAGGATTGGGGTATGGTCAGGCGGCCCCATGATGACCCCATAGTCATCGAATGCAAGGTTGCCAACCAACGAGTGGGCCGGATCCTAATGGATACCGGGAGCTCGTCTGACCTGATCAGCTACCAGTGCTTGGTAAAGCTCAAGTACAAGCCTAGCAGCATGCACAAGGCTCGTCACCCCCTAGTCGGCTTTGGGGGAGGAGTAGTGCATCCGGTGGGGAGGATTGACCTAACCATCCGGCTAGGAGAGAAGGAAGAAGGGCGGCACATGGTCGTCAAATTCTTGGTGGTCGAGGAATTGACCGCCTACAATCTCATTCTGGGTCGTCCTACCCTCAACGAGTCCAAAGCAGTCATCATCCCATCCCTCATGCTAATTAAATTTGAGAGGGATGACAGGTCAGTGGGCGCCCTGAACGAGGATCAGAAGACGGCTAAGGAGTGCTACCTCTCAGACGTCAAGCCAACTGAAATAGCAGCCGTCCATACTAAGGAGCCCATCGACCTTGATGACAAAGAAGTCGCGCCTGCTCCCAAAGCAGCCGGCAAAAAGAGAAAGGCGGACAAAATGGCCCTCGTCAAAAAAGAAAAACAATAGCGAATACTGACCGGGGAAAGGTCAAACGACTTCCGACCCCAGTCGGCAGGTGAGAGCATTGATGTCGTCCCAAACGACAGCTGGCCCGACAGAACCGTCAAAGTTGGGACGGTTGCTTTTGAAAAGTTGGGAGCAAATTTGCTCCAACTGCTAAAATAGTTCAAAGACATTTTTGCCTTTGAAGTGGAAGAGATGCCAGGCGTGGCGGATCCCAAAAAGAAGCCGGTTAGGTAAAAGAAGAGGGATCACGGTGAGGAGAGATCTCAGGCGGCAGCCGCTGAGGTCAAGAAGCTACTGGATGACGGGTTGATTCTGCAATGCTACTACCCGGATTGGGTAGCCAACGTTGTTCTTGTCAAGAAGCCGAATGGTACCTGGCGGATGTGTGTAGACTATACAGATCTGAACAAGGCATGTCCGAAGGATAGCTACCCACTTCCAAAGATCGACAACCTAGTCGACTCTACAGCCGGTCATGCCCTGATGAGCTTTATGGACGCCTACTCAGGCTTCCATCAGATACCCCTATGGAAAAAAGATCAAGAAAAAACGGCCTTCGTCACTGATCAGGGGTTGTATTGCTACAAGGTGATGCCGTTTGGGTTGAAGAATGCGCCTGCTACTTTCCAACGAATGATCAATACGGTTTTCATCAATCAAATCGGAAGGAATGTAGAGGCATATATTGAAGATATGATAGTCAAATCCAAGCTACAGGCGGATCACCTAGCCGACCTCCGAGAAACCTTCGCCACCCTCAGGCGGCACAAGGTCATGCTTAATCCCAAAAAGTGTGTCTTTGGTGTTGAGTCTGGGAAGTTTCTCGGATTTCTGATTGATCAAAGAGGCATAGAGGCCAATTCTGAAAAAGTACAGGCGGTAATTGACAAGCAGTCACCCCGCACCGTCAGGGAAGCCCAGAAACTTACCGGTTGCTTGGCGGCATTAGGAAGATTTCTCAGCCGGTCAAGCGACAAGTGTCTCTATTTCTTCCAAGCAATCAGGAAGAGGTCTAGATTTGACTGGGGAGAAGAGGCTGAGGCGGCATTTCAAAGGTTAAAGCAACACTTACACTCTTTTCCAAGGCAAGTGAGCCCCCTGCCCCAAGAGGTTCTCTACATGTACCTAGCCGTCTCAGATCACTCCCTTAGTGATGTTCTCCTTGCTGAGAGAGACGGCAAACAGCTCCTGGTGTATTTCTTCAGCCATGTTCTCAAAAATGCTGAGCTCCAGTATCCAATGATTGAAAAATTTGGGCTGGCCCTCTACAAAGCAGTCAAACGGTTGAAACCCTACTTTTTGGCTCATCCGATTATTGTTTATATTGATTAGTGAAGGTTCAATGGGCACTCAAGAGGGGGGGGGGTGAATTGAGTGTTAAGTAATCGTTGGCTAATTTTGCTTCTTTTCGGATTATGTGTGAGGAACCAGTTGTGCTGGTTCCCGTACGCAGCGGAATATAAATAAGCAATAAAGAAGACAACAAATTTAACGAGGTTCAGCCAACTCAGGCCTACGTCCTCCTATCCTAAGTTCTTTATTAATCTACTCCGAAAAACAAAGACAAAGAACACTCTGCTGTTTCCCTACTCCGGGAACCAGCAAACCCCACACTCTACTCCGAGTGTGCTCTCGACTTACACTCGTAAGCCCAATGTGTTTGAACTCACAAACACTCACCCAGCCTTTAACCCCTTTGTTAAAGACTCAATACAAGAATCAAGAACTCTCCTTTGATCTCACTTCTACGAAGCTAATTAAGAGAAAATGTTTTTGTACTAGAATGCTCTTGTATATGACTTGATGAATGGGATTAGTGCTTAAGTATATGCTCTCAAATAATTGCTCTTTTTAATTTCTGGAGAGGCACACGAAATATGTGAAATAAGATGAGTTTATATAAGCTTAGATTCCTAAAACCTAGTTTCCTTAAATCACACAATCTTAGAGAATAAGATATATTGTAATTTTAGGAAAGTATTTATCTTATTTGATTTAATCACAAAGATAGAATCAATTAAGATAAATACTCCTAGTTTTTAGGTAACCGAGAATATTTCATCTTATTTCCAGCTGCACAA